ACAGCCTCACACATATTCCCACCCAGCCATACAGTAACTCTCATGCTATCCTCCACCCAAATAGGCTAATGTTCTTATAGCATCTCACAAACGCACCATTTACATGCACCTACACTCACACTCACCCCTCCGAAATACAGCCAAATGTCTCACATACATATCTTACCCAGACTCTAACATACACAGAACCTAGATCCCTTCCCTCCCTCCCTGTCCCTCTCTTTCCCCCTCATTCTCTCATTCTCTTACCAAATATACCACCTTCTACACACACACACACACACACACACACACACACCATAGTCTACCCAGATATACCTTTAGTTATACATACACATTGACATCTAGATTTCTGCCTGGATGGCATAATTTGGGTGCTCTCCATGAAAACCATTTGCCAAACTTAGACACAACAGTGCCATTTTGTTCTGGGCCTCCAAGGGTTGGGGGATGGGAAGGGAGGTCTTTGGGTTTCAAGAAATCCATTTCTAAAAGGTCACAGGCCCCCTTCCCTAGGAGGACATCAGCCATGATTGGTTCCTACTTCTTCAGTGTGAATGATGACAAGAATTATCCTGAGATACCCACTCCCCAACTGTCCCACAAAAGCCCAGCACATGGTTGAGGCCAGGGAACCCCCAGAAGAGGGTCATGGATTACTCAGGTGTTATAGCTTGCCATCCTGTAAGACATCTACACAGAGCTGATATGGTCTAGCAGGGTGTCACTGAGTCTTAGACTTGCACAAATACATGATGGGGTGTACACACAGCATCACACAGACTTATAAGCACCCTCCTCTATCACTCCCTCAGGGATTAGACCTATCTGCATAGGTCCAAGGCCAAATGTCTCTCTCTTACATATGGACCATCAGACCAGCACATGTACAAATACCTACACTTATTTCCACACATAGGCACACTCACAGCAATGCACACTCACACAGCACTTGGTCCCACATCTGCACACCAATTTACTCTCAAACATAGACATACAGGCATCGCACACATTCACATGACATAACGCCCACAAATGACACACATTCACTCACAAACACAGGTATACATACAGGCATAGTTCCACATGTCCATGGACAGCCAGACTCGACATCACACTCAATGAGACAATGAACAAACATGACACCCAGAGGTTAGCTCCCAAATGTATACACACACACACACCTAGATGTGACCACATAAGCATTTTCACACACTCACATATGCATAGGGTACTCCTGTACATCAACACCCAGATATGTACCTGCATGTCAATGAGACTATGTATTCGTATACAAACATTGTAATACACATAGACATACACATACACCTGGGCATGTATTCCTATGAGCATACTCACACGCACACAGACATGTACATCAATCATTCCTATATGCACACAACCAGACTTGGAGACGCAAATGTACTTAGAAAACACACTCACACAATCATAGTAAGAATGCACACCACGTGTATTCAACACATGTTCATACACCCCTATGAGAAGCTATGCAAACAAATGAAGATTCATTTATACTTAAATTCTCAGACAGACTTGGACACAAAGCTCTGTTCACACACATGCACACATGGAAGAACTTGTACATCTGCACAAGAATTGATAATTCTTAGCACATACACATGGCAAAGACATACACACACACCCACAAATGTATGTATGGCATACATACATACATACACAGCTCTATGACATATGCTCCAGAATAAATACAAACACATATATACAAATAATTAGAACTGCACAAACTGGTCCATTCACCTATCTGTACAGTCAGAGTGGCACACACAGGCATAGTCACACACACACACACAAACACACACTTAGATGTATGAACACATGGGCAAGTATAAAGACATGTTCACACAAATGCACACACAGCCAGATGTTCACACATACTAGCATATACACACACATGTACACTAATGATCACTCACAGGCATATCTACACAGACACATTTACACTTGTATTCAGAAATTCAGACAAAACACATTGAAATATGTGCACCAGGTATCATGAAATCTAGCTACTCATGCATACCACAACCACACTTGGACTCGCACATAACAGTGTACCCACAAACACAACTGGACATGTACCCAAATGCATTCTTTCACCTATGCACATAGCCTTTTGTGAATATATACACAGGCACAGACCCACCCTAACAGCCAAAACTATACAGAATCAAATGTGTACACATGGGCATACCCACAAAAGATGTTTTCATGCACAAAATATGTGTGCACACATTGCTCCCCACCCACACAATTACTTCTCTTTATATGAGGGTGATCATCTACACTAACATTTCCCTAATCAGATGTGAACCCATAGGTCTGCCTACAGACCTATGTACTCAAACACACACACGCGCACACACACACACACACACACACACACACACACACACAGAGACATATACACAATTGAAAATGCTGGAGAATCCACATGGACATCCACAAATGGACCTACTCATACACGTACATTACTGACACACCCACACAGAAGCATACTGACACACACATACATGCATGGACACACAGACACACACACACCCTTACACTCACAAACACACCATTTAGATATACCTACACTCATGTGCACACATAGATACATACAAATGTACACAGATACAGCCAGATGTTCACCTAATTGGGCATGCATACCCAGGTATTCTGAAACCCTCATGCTCATATGCATATAACCAGAATGGACACCCAAAGACAAATTGATACACGCACATATACAACTAAACATTCAACAGGCCTGTTGGCTCACAGAAGCACAATCTTACTCAGCCTCAGAATCAAACATGCCCATTTTCTCACCCAGACAGACATGCAAAGTCATACCCACTCCCCTGTGCACACACAAGCCTACCCAGACACTCACTCACTTGCACACACCACCGTGTGGTCTGGTCCACACATAGACTCATATACATCCACAATTCCCATGGACAGACACATAGTCACAGACTGCACACGTTCAGTTACACATATATACCCACTCTCAGGCCCAGATGCCTCCAAACCACAGGCTAGGTCCTCTCCCTTACACAACAAATGCTTCTTCAGAAAAGTCTACACTATACCCCAAAGCCCACCCCTTCCAAACCTCACCACAAGGTCTTCTGGACCTCAGACTTTCCCCTCCCCCTCCTCCTCCCTCAGCCCTGAGGACCTTCCTCCAGCCACCCACCCCTCATTCAATGTTCCAACACATCTCCACACCCAGAAACCAGACAGCAGACCCCACTGTCCCCCGCCAATCCAGGCTATAGGTTAGCAAATCCCTGGGACCCGTACTCCCATGGGTCTGGTTGCTGCATGGGCCACACCCCAGCTCTACCCAAGGCTCTGCGATCTCAGAAGCTTCAGCCTTGGCACTGCCAACCACTGACCACAGGCCCAACTCTTGCCAAGTCTCCCCTCGACAGGGAGACGCCTACATCACCAAGGCCAGGAATGCTGCAGGCTGCAAGCCAGGCCTCTGCTAGCTCATGGGAGCTTAAGCCTGTGTGTGTGTGTGCACGCGCACGTGCACGCGCACACTCACGTGCATGCATGTGCGTGTGTGTTCACACACAGGGGCAAGTACAGGAAACGGAGACTGGAGTGGAGTGGGGGTGGGAGGCTCTGCCCATAGCCACCACTTATCACTCCCTACAAAGAAAGAGTGACAACACTGAGCTGCTCCTGCCTCCCCTCCACTCCCCAGCCCCCATTTGCCTACCTGCTGTCCTCTCTAGATCTCTGCCAAGACCTTGGAGAAGAGGGACCAGTTCCTCCTCCAAATAATCAATAACAATATTAATCATGAATAATCAACAATATCGACCATGAGCTTTGCTGATATCATTTCAGGGCTACTACTAAGCACATCCTTTATTTGCATGCACCAACTCATTTAATCACCACACATGCCCATGACTGGAAGGGTTACTGGTCTCTTTGACAGATGGGAAAACTGAGGTTCAATAAATGGCACATTTTCACTAAAGTTGCAGAGCTAGAGCTGGGGGAAGTGTCCCAGGAGAATCCACGCTCTCCACGTATTGGGCTTTCTTGCCCTTCCAGACACAGGGATCACCGGCCACTGTGCACAAGGCCATAAGATCTGGGGGTCCCAAACACAACATGGACACGCGAAACAGACATAGAGAGCCTTGGATGGAAGCTGGGGCCCACACTGTGGCCCCTGCAGGTTGTGTGGCATGGTCCTGGCCCCCACAGGGCCATCAAGCAGCCCAGGGCCTGGAAGTGCTTCCCATCCCCACCCCACTTTCCCTATGGTGGCTTCCTCCCCCTAGCTGGGAAGCACAGCAGTTTCTTCAATGGGGAACGAGCAAAAGTCTGTGCTACCTGTGTGGAGAGACAGGGAAAAGTGAAAAGGAAGGGAAGCAGGGAGGGAGGGAAGAAGGAAAGAAAGACTGGGGGGTGGTCTGGGCTGGGATCTGCTTCTCCGTCATGTCTACCCACCTGCCTGCTCACACACACAGACAGAAACACACATACCCTGCATACAGACCAAGGAACCTGGAGGAGAGTGGAGGAGGAGGGAGAGGGAGAGGAGGCAGCTGCAGGAGGCTGAGCCTGCCCAGGGTGCAGGCATTGAGGAGACTCCCATGCATGCCTTCCATAGCTAGCACACACAGGAATATTAACACAGCCTCATGCCCCAACGCAACCACAATGATAAAGACAGACCCTGTGTGGGGAGTGGGGAAACAGGTGGTAGTTTCCTTTCTCATGGGACATTTGGGATTGGGGAAGATGGAGATGGCTAGAGGACTCTCCAGGCTTGGGTCCCCAAATAGTCCTTGTGATGGAGCGGGGATGGGGGGTGGGGGCACACTAACCGAGTGAGAGAGAGACAGAGAGCACGGCAGTGATGGAGAATCTGAAATATGTGTGGGGAGACAGAAGAGAAATCTCAGCATCCCCCTATCCTTGATGGAGGGATGCTGACTACTTACCTGGACTCTCTCAGCAGGGCTGTCTTGGAATCCAGGTAGGGGGCTCAAGCAGTCTCACCCAGGATAAATCACAGCCCAGGCCACATTGTGGGACCCTCAGTGATCTGGCGGCCAGTGACACTCCTGCTTCTGTTGCCGTGGATACAGCAGCCGGGCTGGTCTAAAACGCAGACATCAGGGGGAGCAGGCACCAAAGGGGTGCACCGGGCAGGGCTGGGGACGCTGGGGAACACCAAGTGGGCAGCACACAGCCTTGGGGTGCCCAGCTAGCTGGCAGGTGAGGGTCCAGGCAGGTGCTTCCCCCACTACACACTCCCACCCCCATCTTCATGCCACCGCCAAGCTGGGAGGGGGGCCAGGGCTGGTCCCTGCTACCCGTCTGCCCGCCTGGCTGCCGGTCCCCCTCCCCCCGGCCCCCCCTCCCCGTCTGCCTGCTGGCCGCCGCCTTTTGTCCTCAGAAGACACGGTCCCCGCGGGGCCTCTGCCAAGCCTCTAGCAGATGCTCAGGGGCCAGGGCTCCTCTCTGGGAGCACTCTGGCCATGGCCTGGGAGAGCCCCAGGTTGGGGGGCTCTCATCCAGGCTCACCCCGCTTCCCAGGCCTGGCGGGGATGGGGAAGAGGTGCAGGTCCACAGCCAGAGGCAGCAGCAGAGGTGGTGTTGGGGAGGGGATGGACGCCAGAAAGAGGGGGTGGGGTGGGTAGAGAGGCTGGCCTGATAGCAGTGTCCCGGGTTTTAGATCCGGGTTGAGGAGGGTGGCTCAGAGCATCCAAGGGGGGGTCCTGATGCAAAACGGGGCTACCGCGGGCCTGCCGGAGGCACGCTTCTGGCCTGGGAACCACCCCAGCTCACACAAATCCAGGTCCCAAGATGTTGGGGACCCACAGCCTGGACGGGGTATCAGTGGGGAGCCCAAGGTTTTAAGCCGGACCCCATCCGGCCTGTCTGTCCCCCCTCTCCACGATTTGCACGGTCCCTGCCTCAGGGGCGGGCGGGGGAGGGAGGCAGGCGGGAGGGAGAGGGAGGGAAGGAGGGAGGCTGAGCAGGCAGGGAGACTCTCAGCCGCCAGCCTGGTCCTCCCTGGGGCGGGGCGGGGCGCGGTGGGGACTGGCGAGGCTGGGGAGCAGCCGGCTCACTGGCTGGCCGACTGGGTGTGGATGCTGGCTTGGCGGCTGTGCCGCCTGGACAATAGCTGGCTGGGGAAGTGAGACTCCGGCCTCACTGAGATGCTTGAGGGAGGCACGCTGGAGGTGGGGAGAGGCGGCCAAGGGGCTGCTGAGAGCAACTCACCTGGGCTACAAGTGCAGAGGAGGGAAGGATTGGGGTCGCGTAGAGGCAGAAAGGTCCTGTGGAAGTTTCTCAAAAGCTTTGGGATGGGAGGGATGCTTAGAGCTCCGCGAGGTAGGATAGATAACCTCATTTAGAATGGGTTCTGTGGGCATTTTCCCACCAAGGCCTGTGGGCTGGTGGGGGGAGAGGGGCAGGGAGCGCTGCTGAGCCCGGAACAGTCCCTCTCAGGACACCTCCAGGGCCTCCCCTACTTTCTCTGTGCCAGTAGACAAGCACATAATACCTAAGGCCATGATCCAGGACAGAAGAATGGAACAGGTGAGGAGAAAGCTTAGTAGGCAGAGATTTGAAGACAAGGAAAAAAATATTTCTGTCCTGAATGGATTAAATTGGGACCAAATGATGCAGTAGTGGTTCGCTAATTCATAGCACTCGAAAACTCCAAGTGTCACCATAGAAACAATTTTCTTTTATTTGCTTCCTTCTCACACCCACTGGCTCACTCTTAAACATGGCTTTATGCCAAGCCCAGTGGTGGGTGCTGGAGATACAGGTGAATCAGACTTACTCTCTGCCTTAGAAAACCCTTGCTGTGCTACCTATCTGTGGTCCTGCAGCCAGCCCACCTGCAACCGAATCCCCTACAGAACTTGTGAAATGTGGATCCCCAGACCTACTTCCCAGAAATACCAATCTAGGAGGTTCAATATGAGGCTCCAAAACCTGTATTTTGACAACGTCCTCAGGTGGTTATTTTTATGCCTATGAAAGTTTGGACACTATGCTTTGGAGAGAGAGAGAAAAACCCATGAGCCAAAGATAAATTCACAGTGGAAATTAGCAAATATTTTGAACTGACTGATAATGAAAATATCACATTTAAAATCTTGTGGGGTGCTGCTAAGTTGATGCTTCGAAATGTATAGCTTAAATTATATATTATTTTTCAAAAGGTGGCAAATCCATCTCAAAAAGTTAGAAAAAGCAAATTAAACTTAATGAAAGTAGAAAGAGAGAAATAACAGATAAGATTAGAAATCGACAAGGGACGCCTGGGCAGTTCAGTCGGCTAGGTGTCTGCCTTGGGCTCTGGTCATGGTCCCTGGGGTCCTAGGATGGAGTCCCGTGTGGTCAGGCTCCTTGCTCAGTGGGGAATCTGTTTCTTCCTCTGCCTCCCACTTTCCCTGCTTGTGCATGCTCTCTCTCTGACAAATAAATAAATAAAATCTTTTAAAAAGAGTAGAAATTGACAGAATAGAAAACAGAACTACTACAGAGAAGATCAACAAAGCTGAACATGGGTTCTTTTAAAAAACTAGAAAAATGATAAATCATTAAAACTGATCCCAAAAAATATATATAGAAGGCACATAACTATTAACAGGAGCAAAAGGAGGAAGTACAATATGGGTCATGGATACATGAGAACTTTATTATTCAGTATTATGAAGTATTTGAAGAACAGTATTATGTTCAGTATTATGAAGAACTTTATATTAACAAATTTCAAAATTTTGATAAATGGGAAAATTCCTGGAAAAATACAATACACTAAAACTCACACAAGAAAACAATTTAAAGATAAATAATCCTATAACTATTAAATAATTGAATTTACAATTTAAAAGCTTTCCATAGGGACGCCTGGATGACTCAGTTGTTAAGCATCTGCCTTCGGCTCTGGTCATGATCTCAGGGTCCTAGGATCAAGCCCTACATCATCATCATCATCATCATCATCATCGGGCTCCCTGCTCAGCGGGGACCCTGCTTCTCCCTCTCCCACTCCCCCTGCTTGTATTCCCTCTCTCTCTCTGTAAAATAAATAAATAAAATCTTAATAAATAAATAAATAAATAAATAAATAAATAAATAGCTTTCCATAGCCCTCCAGATTTGGTGACTGTCAATGGTGAATTCTACAGGATACTTAAAGAATCTCACCAATTTTCTTTTTTTTTTTAAGATTTTATTTATTTATTTGACAGAGTCCACAAGTAGGCAGAGAGGCAGGCAGAGAGAGAGAGAGAGGAGGAGGAAGCAGGCTCCGTGCTGAGCAGAGAGCTCGATGTGAGGCTAGATCCCAGGACCCTAGGATCATGATCTGAGCCAAAGGCAGAAGCTTTAACCCACTGAGCCACCTAGGGCCCCCAATTTTCTAATTTTACACAACTTCTTCCAGAAAATTGAAGAAAAATCATATGATCACTTCTGTATATGCAAAAAAAGCATCATGACAAAGTTTACTAAGAACATAAGGGAAATTCTTTAATTTAATACATGTTATCTATAAAAATCCTATAGCAAATATCATACCTAATGAGAGATGTTGAATGGTTTCTGCAAGGATACCCACAATAACAACTTTTATTCAAATTGTACTGGAGTTCTGGCTAGTGCACTAAAACAAGAAAAATAAATAAAGGACATAAGGATTAGAAGGGAAGATATGAAAATACAACTTCATTATTTAAGAAAATACAAAAGAAATCAACACACAAAAATGACTAAAAAGAATAAGATTAATACTGAATGTTGCTGAGAATGTGGAATTGGATGAAATTCTCATAAAATGCTGATGAGAGTATAAATTGATATAATCACTTCGGAAACTGCCTAGCAATATCAACTAAAGGTGACCATATGCACACCCCATAGACCAGCAATTCTTCTAGGTATAATCCCAACAGAAATGCTTATACGTGTTTACCAAAAGACATATGCAATAATGCTCATAAAGGCACTATTTGTAATAATCCAAACTGGAAACGACTCAAGTGCCAACAACAGAAACATGAGAAACATATTGTGGTATATTTACACAATGGAATACTACACATTGATGGGAAGAAATGCCCTACACATACATATAATATGGATGAATTCTATAAACATTAAGCTGAGCAGAATAAACCACACACAAAAGGGCACCTGCTGTATGATTTCATGTAGATAAAGTTCTGAAACAGGTGAAACTAATCTATGGTGATAGAAGTCAGATTCGTGATTGCCTTGAAGGACTGAGTAGGAGGCCTAAGGAAACTTCCGGAGTGCTAGGAACGTTGTGTTTCTTGATTTCCATGCTGATTACATGGGTGGTTACTTAGTAACAATTCACTGAGAGCTGTGCATTTATGCCTCTTTGTACTTTTCTTTATGTGTGTTATACTTCAATCAAGAAAGAGTAAAATAAGCAGTCAGATTGTTTTATCCTAATGGGAGATAAAGATGGGGACTGGGAGCTGTGGGTGCTCAAGGATGTCAGGGCAGTGTGGGGAGAGGTGTTGATACCCAAGATAAGTGTGGAAGAAGTGCAAGTGAGTTGGAAGAAGTTTAAGAGGCAATATAGTGTAGTGGCTAAGAGCATTTACTCTGGCTCCAGGCTGCTTGGGTTTGAATCCCTTCCTCCCACCCAGCTTGCACCTCAAATTCCTTATCTGTTAAATGGGGTCGTAATAGTGCTTACAGCATAGGGTTGTGAGGATAGATGAGGTAATATTTGTAAAGTGTTTATAATAATGCCGAGACATGGGGTGCCTGGGTGGCTCAGTGGGTTAAACCTCTGCCTTTGGCTCAGGTCATGATCTCAGGGTCCTGGGATGGAGCCCCGCATCGGGCTCTCTGCTCAGCGGGGAGCCTGCTTCCCCCTCTCTCTCTGCCTGCCCCTCTGCCTACTTGTGATCTCTGTCTGTCAAATAAATAAATAAAATCTTTAAAAAAAATAATGCCAAGACATATAATTAGTACTATGCACATCATGATTAAGTTAAAAAAAAAGTGGTGGTCTAGGGAAGTGGAACATCCTGTACAAAAGTTTGGGGGTCCCAGAAGGCAAGATGCACTTGGAGCATGGTGAAAGTAATTTGCTGTGGCCCGGATAAGTGGTGTTACTCTGGCACAGGCCAGG